CAGTGTAGTCATACCAGCTGTTCTCCTTTCTTCTGGGACTTGTTTCCTCTGCTTTTCCTTAACAGTGAGAAAGGAAGTTTGGGTTCCCAATTGAAAGATGAAGGAAAAGTTCATCTATGTATCACACTTTATAAAAAGGCAGCTGCTTAACTATAAATACCTACATACCTCTGGGCTTTGTTTTTTTGTTTCTTTTTAAAGCCCGCTGATAGAAAATTATAACCTGTTCCAGGAATTCTGTTGTGTTGGACAGTTAATGTTGCCAGGAAGTCATTTTTGTGCATTAATAATAGTATTAGTTCACATGTGTGCAGTGATTCACAAAGTACTTTTTCATAAATTAGTTCATTTTATTTCCACAACAACCTCATGAGGGAGATTACACAAGGGTTGTTATTCCCCCTTTTGTAGATGAGGAAGCTATGACTTTCCCAAAGTTACACATGCTAAGAAATGTTGTGACCTGGAATGAAAACCAGGTCTTCTGACTATGATTCTGGATGTCCTTTCTACTTGATTACACTGACTCACTTTTTGCTATGAAGAAAAGAAAATGAGCCCTATACAGTAGCAAATTTTGAATTCTTCATGTGTACATTACCATTCTTGGAAGGGACATGTCCTAGCCATTTCCCTCCCACTTGGGGGAAAAATAATTTTTTTGCTGCTTTATTAGTAAATGGAAGTTAAATTGCAAGACTTGTGAAATATAACTACAGTGAGCTATTCAAAATTTGCTACTGTCTATGGCCTTTTTTCTTTATAGTGTGGCAGAAAATAATGAAGGAATATAAGTATTTGAAGAAAATCATGTTTCAAAATGAAAAGAAAAAAAATTAATCCTTTCCATTCCACTAACATCCTAGACCAGGTCCTTACCAATGCTGCTTCTACTATTAAAAAAGTTTCTACCAATTAGATTGGTTTTTCTTTTGATTTTTGGCCTCCCTTCCTTCTAATTTGTCTTGTATGCCATTGTCAGATTCATCTTCTGAAACCATTATTTTCACCAGGATATATTGTGTCTCTATTGCCTATCAAATCAATTCCATTGCTCCTCAGTCCTTATTGGACTTAGAGCCCATAATATAGTTCTATGTTACCTTCCAGTTCTTAAAGGAAATGTTCTGTTCATTGCTTTGTTTTTCCATATCCTCCCCCATTTACGTATTCACCCTGAATATTCCTATTTTTCTAACATTACTCACCCAATCTTTGCTATCACAAAAAGTGTTGCTACAAATATTTTGGTGTACATGGGGACTTCTTTCTTTTCAACAGCCTCCTTGGTATATGACCTTAGTAATGGAGTCTCTGAGTCAAGGGATATGAACATTTTAGTTACTTTATTTACATAATACAAACTGCTTTCCGAAATGGTTACATTGATTCACAGTTCTCAACAATACACTAATGTATTTATCCTTCCATAACTCCTCCAACATTAATTATTACTGTCATTTGCCTTTTTTCCCCTCTATTTTGCACAATTTGAGGTGAAACCTCTGAGTTGTTTTGAATTGGATTTCTCTTACTAGTCATTTGGAGGAATCTTTTTTACAGTTGTTAAAAGTTTACATTTTTTCTTTAGAGAACTGTTTGTACATATCCATCAACTATTTATCTATTGGGGAATCTATTGAGCTTTGTCATATATATGTTTCTGTATCTGTTAGCTACCTTTATATCTTGTATATCAAACCTTCATTGGAAGATTTTTATGTGGAAAATTTCCCCCTTATTTGGTCACTTTCCTTTAGATGATCTTCAAATCCTATAGTTCTCTCAGTCCCATCTCCCTTAAGAAACTTTCCCCTGCTATTCCAGTTCAAATTGTTGGGCCTGTGATTGATATGTAATTTTCAGGAAGAGTAATGTTTATTTCATTATTGTTTTCAGAGCTAAAGCTAGAAAATTAGATGTGGTAATGAGGAGGTTATTTATGCTGGGGCACCATTACCTAGAGAAAATTCTAAAAGGGAATATTGGTCCTGAGACTAGACAGGATAGGTTGAATGCTCACCAGTCAGAGCCCATGGTCACAGAGGAGGCAGCTTGAATCCAAGTTAGAAGTAGAAGCTAGAGGGCAGTTGGAATGACATGGAGATAGCTGGGAAATGGCCATTTCATTAACGTAAGGGACCTTTGGTGAGGAAACTCCCTCTACCAATGCAGACAAATAACTGTTCTTCAATTTATAGTCTCGGAAAGTTGACTGTCCCAGTGAGGGGTAAGGCGCTTTGCTTAGAGCCAGAAAGTCTGCATACCCAGTGTCTGCAATAATAAAGTAAATGGAAAGAAGAAATGCCACAACAATCACAAACAAATGTTAAATATAGAGAACAAGCTTGGCCCTAAGGAAGAGATATGAGAAGATACTTCCCCTTCATCATTTTCAGAGGTGGGGTGGGGAGTGTCCATGGGTGTCTGATGACATTCTTTGTGCTGTTTCTCCTGCACACCTCTTCATAGGTAATATACAATGGTTTACCCATGTCTACCAGGTACTCCATTTGCCTTTGGGAGACCCACAACTTGAATTCTTCAGCCATATAGTCTCACCATGAGAATGTTCATATTTAAAAAATTCGTCTTTAGTCCTGGATGAAGCTTGGAGTTATTAACACATTGCAGCTTTCTAAATTCATTTCTTCTTAGAGTTTTCTACCTGTTTTTTTAACTATCTAACTCCCATTGAGTTCTCAGCACATTTCTTTCTCTTTCCTCTATATTTGTCCAAGATATATGTGCTGATGGACCAACTCTGTATGTTTTCTGTCCAATTGAATAGCAGTGTCTAGATACTAGGCATTCTTCACCCACTTGCTTTTTCCTTGGTGGATGGTTAGACTAAAGTGTTTTGTAATTGTGCATCTCAGATAGGAGGTTCTGTACATTTTCAGGGCTTGAATCAGCATGCCATCATAGAAAAAGCAGGGGCATCTAGAGGGTCCTACCATCTGTAGGACGTCTGGCTTGGATGTCCACCATGACTATGATAGGCATCTTCTGAGACTTCCATCTTCCGGGGTTATGTCTTGTGTTTGATGTTAATAATAAAATAGTCACCAAATAAAGTTATCTCTGTTGTATCTTTAGAGGAATTTTATATGAATTTGCCATATATATGAAGGAAAGCCTTGGCAGCAGTGTTGTGTTCTATCAGATCAAATACAGTTTTATAATTAACAAGCAGCAACATAGTAGAATCTAATATCCTCTGCTATAGAATATTATCTGAGTTCCGTACTTAGACTTTATTAAGAATGCCCTTGGTGCATGTCTATATTCTTCTCTTAAAATTTTGTAGATAGAGAAAAACAGGCATATGAAATATCAGTTAGTGATTTTTCTCTGATGCCTTTTGAAGAATAATAGAATCTGAAATGTTTTCAAATGATTCATCTTCTCATATATCTTGTGAAACAGTCTTTTGTGCCCTCAGAATTATGTCACTTTCAGCATGGATATCCTCTGTGTGTATTTGTCCTGGCCCGGCCAGTCTTCCTCCTTTTGTGTTCTTTAATGACCCTTTTACTTTCTCATGTAGGACACCAGGGGCAGAGATATTAGAGTGGCAGCCCTACCAGTAATGTTGGAGAAAATTGTTTTAGAAATATTGACAGATCTTATCCATCTTTCATCTGTTATTTTTATTCTAGTCTCATCCTTAAATACCCTTGGGTTTATTTGACTTAATCCAGTCTCTGGCCAAGCTTTCTGAAAATGTTTTCCTTTCACCCTTTTTTTTAATGAGGTGTTACTATTCATAATCATATGGAACCCATTCCACAAACTTTTGTAAATAAGTTTGTATTTTAAACTATCATTGACTTTGACTGCTGTCTCTTTTCATTTGGCCAAAAGAGAATGTGTTTGTTTATAATTTCTAGGCTATTTCTGGTTTCGTTGTTGTGGCAGTTCATTTATGTAGTTTAGCTTTTCTAGAATGTCATGAACCTGTGATCAATTTTTATTCATTTGTTGTTTTCAGAGACAGTTGCCTCCCTAAAAAGTGGCCAGATTACAGCTATTTTCACTGCATGCCTTATATTTTTGTTTTTATTCTGCTAACTTTGCCTTTTGATCTTTTCACTAAGTTAGCAATCTGACTTGTCCACAGCACCTGAGTCAGAAATCACTCTCACTTTGCCCATCAGTTGTTCTCTATCATACAGGATCACAGATTCAGAGCTGCAAGACACCTTATCCGGGGTGGGGAACCTGTGGCCTCGAAGCCACATGTGGCCCTTTAGCTCCCCAAGTGTGGCCCAGATTTTTTTGGATTCATTCAAAGGGCTGTACTTGAGGACCTAGAAGGCCACATGTGGCCTCGAGGCCACAGGTTCCCCACTCCTGCCAGAGATTTTCTAGTTCACTCCCTCCCTCATTTTCAAAAAAAAGATTCTCAAGTCCTGAGTGACTTGCCTCTGGTCATGCACAGCTATGATTTGAAAACAGTACTTCTGAGTACAAATCCAGTACTCTGCACTGAAATTTCTTCTCCTCCTGCTCCTTCTCCTCCTCCTTCTTCTTTTCATCTTCCTTCCTCTCATTTTATGAACCTCTCCACACTTGGCCTGGTTGTTCCTCAGCAAACAAACATAGTCTGTTGTCAGAGCCACATTCAGAGTCTCTCCAGCATGGTTAGATCTGCCATAACTTGTCCTCCGTTGTCCTAGTCTTCACAAACCTATATTTACTTTCTCTCTACTGTGAGACATCAAAAGGTGGGACCATGGAAGTTAAATCATTTAAAAGAAATATTTACCAAACTGCTTTCACTCATAACTCTTATATGGGAAATCCTGTATCCCTGTCATGGACTAAGCAATAGTTCCTTTTCTTTTAAATAGTCAATATGATCAGAATAAAGAATTTTTTTTAAAAGCAGCCTTTCCCCCCTCATACGTTGGATGATCAAGCTAAAATTTCTTAATTCTTAATTTTGGACCTCTGTTTTTTCTTCTGAGTTCATATTCTCTGTTTTTCCCCCTTAGGATGGAAAGAAGAAGTTTGACAAAGAGAGTGAGAAATACTATTCTATTCTTGACAAGCACTTAAATTTGTCAGCAAAGAAAAAGGAGTCTCATTTGCAAGAGGTAAGCTTTGACTATTTGTCAGAAGAAAAGTCTCTGAAACAAATTGAGCCAGTCTTTTCTATTCATACTACCTAGACTACTGATCTTCACTGGGTCTACTGTTTCTTATTTCTGAATTCTTAGAGAGGTCAGTATGTTCACAGTAGAACATTTGCATCTCCTTTTGTTAGTATATAATTTAAGTGACAAATTAATGTAGCTTCTGCAGTGTCTCCCCAAATATATATTTACCTATCCATTGTAAAACAAGTGATTCTGTATTCCAAAATGGAATTAAAAATCAAATTATCTTGATATAATTCAAGGTACGTCCTTGTGAAGTATCTGATCTCAGTCCTGAGCCCCTTCCTGCTACGTGAGACACCATTATTGCCAGTTTCTGTATGCTTCTATCTTCTAGCCATTTTCTCTCCTCTCTTGCCACCTCCCATTCCTGTCTTAATTATCATAGTTGAACATCATCTTTCCTTTGCCCTCTTGGTGATGAAAGCCAGAAATCCTATCCCTTAATGAAGGAACTTTTGGAATTGAGTGCCTCTACCTCTGCTTTTTTTTTTAAATAACTTCTTTCTCTCTCTTTTTTCCACCCATGCCTGAAAACATGAGAAAAGGTACTGGGAAGCATAAAAATTTACAAGCCTGCCTGGGAAACTCCAAAAAATAAGAAATAGTGTTCTAGTTCACTAATGATAATTGGTAACTTTTATAGAGTTTTAAAGTTTGTAATTCACTTTGTGTATGTTTCCAATAGCCTTGGGAAGTAGAAACTACAGGTCTTATTATTCCTAGTCCCTGAAATTTTAGTTGGTCCTAAAAGAAGCCAGAGTTGAGTAATTGGAGTGGAAGAGAGAGAGTGCACCAGGTACAAAGGAAAGCCAGAAAAAATGCCTGGAGATGAGTGGTGGGGTGTTTTGTTTGTGAGACAGTTAGAAGTCCAATGTCAATGGGTCAAAGAATATTGGTTGGGGACTAAGGTCTCCAGTCTTCCAGAACACAAGAAAAGTAAGAGGGGGCAAGATTATGAAGGGCTTTGAATATCAGACATCATTTTGTATTTGTTCCTATAGGAGATGGGAAGGAAGTAGAATTTAGTGAGAGAGAGAGAGAATCAGACTTGAGTTTTAGGAAATCACTTTATTGGCTGAGTGGAGGATGGATTATATTGAGGAGAGATCTGAGGCAGGTACTCACCAGTGGGCTGTTGCAGTTATCCAGGTGTGTGGTGATGAAGGCCTGCTCAAGAGCAGTGGCAATGACCAAAGAAAAAATTTGGCATATTTGAGAGATGTTGCAGAGGTGAAATTAACAGGCCTTGGCAACAGCTTGGATTTAGGTGGGGAGAGATAGTGAGGAATCCAGGATGACTCCTAAGTTGGGTGCCTGAGAGATTGGGAGAATGGTGTTGCCCTCTACAGTAATAAGAGGGGAAGAGTTTAAGGGAAAGAGAATGAGCTTGGTTTTGGACATACTGATTTCAAGGGATCTGTTGGCCATACAATTCAAAAATCTCTAAAATGTAGTTGGAGATGAGATATTGGAGGTCTGTAGAGAGATTTGGGCTGTAATGGTAGGTTGTAGAATTACAGCCTAGAGATGGTAATTAAATCCGTGAGAACTGATAACCAGGAGAGAGTGGTGTCCCTAAAACCTAGAGAAAAGAGAATATAAAAGAGGAGAGAGTGAGCAACTGTGCCAGAGGCTGCAGAGAGGTCAAGGAGAATGTGGATTGGGAAAAGGCCATTGGATCTGGCAACTAAGAGATCATTAGATCGTTAGTAACTTTGTAGAAATTGGTTTCAGTGGAATGATAAGATTAGAAGCCAGATTGTAAGGGATTGAGAAGAAAGTGAATAGAGAGAATGTGGAATACTTTATCATATAACCATTGGGTAGATCTTGAAAATATAGGAACTAGGTAACAACATGACCCAACAGTCATCTAATATGCCAGATTGTATGCCATCATATGCCAGGTGAATTAGTTGGAAAATGCTTGAGATAGATCACCTAAGAGTCTACTGAGGTACTCTTTCTATATGTTGATTAGGAAATGAAACAAGATTGCGGAAATAGGCATAAAGAGGAAGGGTCCAATTCAAGATATCTTTTTTGCAAGAGAAGAATTAATAGAGTTTTTATCCAGAACTAGCTGAATAAAGAAGTCAAGTATGGTTAACTAAAAAATAATGACACACACAGTGGACTTAAAAAGGAAAATTATGAGGAAGATCTGGTTTTGTGTATGAGGGGGATAGGAGGTGATTAAAATAATTTTCAACATGTTAAATATGAAATATTGGCAGAACATCTAGAAGGAAATGTCTAGTAAATAACTAAGTATAGGCTGGTACTCTATGTTTGGGAGATATCTGTGTAGACATGATAGGTGAAACATAGGAATGTGTAGGTTTATAAGGGATATGGAAGGTAGTATGAGAACTCGAAGAGAGAAGATAGAGCAAGAAGGACAAGATAAGCAATAAGCAAATGCTGTAGAGAGTTCAAGGGTATTTGATTCAGTGAATAGGAGGGCATTGGAGACCTCTTAATGCTATGGCAGCTAGATGGCACAGTGGATTGAATACTGGCCCTGGAGTCAGGAGGACCTGAGTTCAAATGTGACCTCAAGTCACTTAACCCCAATTGCCTCTCTCTGTCTCTCTCTCTCTCTCCCCAAAAAGTAGTGCTGGGTACAAAAGTCAGAATGTCTGAGTTTGGTGAGGAAAGAGACATATGTACCCTCCTCTTTCTCTATAAAAGTTGCAGTAGAGAAGAGAAAGATGGGGTGATACTTGTATTTCTCTAATTGAATGAAAGTGATTTTAAAAAAAAATTGGTTAGGGGAATATACTTATAGGAAGGAGATGAAGATGACAGAGAGGGAAACATTGAAGATGAAAGACAGAGTAGGACTGGTTGGGGAGAGAAAACAGGGTGGTAGAGATAATAGGTATTGAAGGCTTAAGTTTGACACCATCCTCTGACATCATAAGTTCACTGTAGAAGTGTTTTAGTTGAACCCCCTCATTTTTCAGATTATTAAAATGAGGCCTAAAGGTTAAATGACCAGCTGAAAGTGTCACACATATAATAAGTAGTACAGCTAGGTTGTACAGCTAGTGGTACAGGCCCACCAAATCCAAATTAGTGAAGGACGTAGAGAAGTTTTGAGGCATGGTTGAGGAGAGTTAAAAGAGCTGAGGCCAAATAGCCTAAATCTCAGTAAATTAGAAGCTGAGTTCACTTATTGAAAGGTGTTGGGAATTTAAGAAACATAGGAAAATTAGAGTAAACACTATGGGAAATATGATAAAGAGCTTATTGGAGATGAATAGAAGGACTCCTGTGTTGCCATTTAGATTATATAAGATGGATCCCTTCAACAGTTTATGACTTTCTCTAGTAGTACTTAGCAGCCTTGGGAACATAAACAAGAAGGCAGATGCTGCTGGGTAGCCCAGATAGGAGATTAGCAAAAAAAAACAGCCTAAAGACTTCCAGATCAGATGCAATACACAGCACCGTCATTTTCCCTAACTAGGTGGCAGCCTTTTGAGTCCAGAAACCTTGTGTTTATATCCCTCACAATACCATTCCATCAGGAAAATTGCTGAAATGTTTTTTCTTGTGTAAAGAAGAGTCATACAGAAGTGTTGACTAAATTTTTTATTCTGAGATGTGAATAAACGTATTGTTCCTAATAGAATTGAGGAAGGAGGGTGAGGCAATTTGGGAGCACTAGTACTAAGAATTGTGGAGAAGTGTAAGAAAGGTAGTTAAGAGTAGCCTTGGCTCAATTAATTTTCAAGGAAATCTAGAATTGACTTCATCAACACTGTACTAATTTTCCCATGGTTCTTTTCATCCTAAGGTTGTTTGTTGTTTGTTTTTTTAAAGTAAAAATTCTTCACTTCGAAAGGAGTTATATGCTTATTTAGGGATGGAAGGAAAGAAGGAGAAGGTAGAAATCTTACTCCCTTTGTGGTCCTGAGAAAAGAACCTAACATAAATGTAAGAGACAGTGGTAAGAGAGGACAAATGCAGAACTGAGGAAAAGACAGGTATGGATTGCTGGCCTGGAACTGAGAAGTACACTGATGCTGAACAGCAAGAGATACTATTGGTGTGCAGTCCTTTTTAGGAGGCACTTAGGCAGTTCTTCCTGATTCCCAAACCTTTGTGTCCTATAACTGGTGCTGCCATTCTGGTTTGCTATGTACTGAGCTCAGAACCACAGAAGGGCCTTGGACTCTGAAGGAGACATTAAAAAAAACATATCTTTAGGTTTCATTGGGGAATATATTAAGTATCATAAGTAAATCTTGAATTTAGTAATTTTGTTATATGTCAGCGCCTTCAGCTTTCAGACTTTAGGTGTGTTTGTGCAACAAGCTTTTATTTAGTATTTCTTTCAAGATTTTGACCTTTGGACTTTGCATCAGGAGAGACAGGAGCTTGAATTCTTACATTGTCACTTAAATTGCAATGAATTTTTTTTTCCACTTTAAAAAACTGGCATTTGTTGTACAGGATTTGTTGGAGGGCTCCTCTCTGGGAGGAGCAGGGAGATGATAATGAGGATAACTATGAGGTAAAAAATAGAAGACATCAATTAAAAACTTATTTTTAAAAATCTTTATATGCTATATAAATATGAGGTATTATTTCTATTACTGCATACCTATTATTCCCTGGGCACTAAGAATGGATACTAGCTATGTGACTGTGGACAAAAAGTAATCTTCTTTATCTATAAAATGGGCATAAGACCCATAGTACTTAGCTCACAGGGTTGTTGTGAAATCCAAATGATATTATATATGCAGCATGCTTTGTAAATTTTAAAGCAATATGTAAGGTGTCAGTTATTAGTATTATCTAGAAAACGTTATTATTTATTATTGTCCTCAAGTTGCTTATATTCTAGTTGGATGGTGACATCAATAAAAAAAAAAAAGAACCAGATTTAATGTATGAGCACATATGTGCTGGTGTAGTATATGACTGTATGTTTAGTTCTAAGAGGATTCAGAGTGAATTCCAGTCTGAATCTTCTGTCAAAGAGAAATTGAGCTATCCGTAAGAACTGTAGCTTCTTGGATGACCCTTCAGAGGAGGGTATGGTATATCAGATTTAAGTGCTCTAGACTAGAGGTGATGAAAGCTTCTGTAACTGGGAAGCATTACAAGATTCACTACTGTCCTTAGTTATCTAAAAACTCTCTGTCTCTCCTGAGTGGGAAGTGAATTACTCAAATGATTTTCAAATAATGCCCATTTGAATTTAAAGAATTAGTACAAGATGTCTTTAAAAACAAGATAACTGGCTCACATGTAGTTAGTAACAATAACAGTGGTGTCATGTCTGGACAAAGAGCAATGTTATGTAATATAGCATTGACAATAACTGAGACAAGAGAAAATGATTCTAATATTGTATCAACTATTTACATATTACCTCTTTCCACTTTAGATTTTGATAGTTCAGTCTTATAAATAACTGCCTTGATAAGGTGATCAAAAAATTATTCTGAATAGGAAAAATATTGATTTGTTTTAGTGTGTTGCTTCTGTTCCTCCTTCTTGGAATACAGCCCTTAAACCATTGGGGGAAGAGAGATAGAAAGGTTAGAAGGATGGTAGTAGTACTGATTTATTTTCCCTTTTATTCTCCAAATTGTTTATGTGTTTGGCATATGTATAGTGTAGGGAAAAATTCATTTAAAAAATCCTTAAAGGCATTCTGTAATTCAATACTGTTGTTTTGAATGAAGAAATTATTTTTAAAGTATAGTAAATGATTATTTTGATGCTCAAATATTTATACTTAATTTTACTTTGCTTTTGTTGTAAAAGCGTCCTAGGAAGTGACTCAGTTTTTGCTTTCTGCATTGCGTTGCTTAATGCTTAGACCTTAGCAGGAGAGATGATGGTTTTTATCCACTTCCATTAACCTCAGTTGCTAATAACCTGTGTTAAATTGTGTAGGGATTGAATGTGATGTTTCTCTACTAAACCAAATAGAGTCCCAGTTTCCAGAAGGATATCTGAGGATAACCAGTTTGGGGATAGAAGGAAGAGATACAGTTTAAATAAATAAATAAAAGATAGAGAGAAAATGGTTATCTGAAAAACATTTTCTAAGCCCCTAGAATTATATAAGAAAACTCTTATTTTATCCTAGAAGAAAAATGTATTGCACTTTTAGAATATGATTCATTCAGGATCTATAATCATTCAGTGTTTCAGATATAGACCTTGCCTTTGTCCCGCCTAGAAATGAGCTATGAAATCAAATACCATCTCTTTGTTTATTACGGTTTCACCTTCTGTCTAGTTATTTATACATATGCCTTCTTTCTCCTATCAGATATTAAGCTTTGAGGACACTTGAGCTTCTCTCACAGAAAGAGGCAATCAGTGAGCTTTTCTGAAGCGTTTTTTATGTTCTAGGTACTATGCTAGGCACTGGGAATGTGAATACAAAAAAATATATATAATAATCCTCATTAACAAGGAGCTTACTTTCTAGTGGGGGATATATAGAATAAAAATAAAGAGAAAAACTGCAAGGTAGTTAAATATCTCATAGGGAAGGAGGGTAGTAGCAGTCAGGGGGATCAAGAATGGCTTCATGTAGAAGGTGATGCGTTAACTTGTGTCTTGAAGAAGGAAAGACATTATTTGAGGTAGAGGTGAGGAGGGAGTGCATTCTAGGCCTGGGAGACAGGTCAGTTCAAGTGTACAGAGATAGGAGATAAAGGATCCTATGTGAGGAGCAGAGAGGGCCAGACTGGCTAGATCACAGGTGTGTTTTTTTTCTTATTCTTTGTTTACTCTTAGTAACAAGCACAGTTTTTTGTATACCTTAAAGTCATGAATTCTGATTGACTGCATACTTTGTTATTTTCTGCATCCTTATAGAATATGACCATTAGTGATTCTTATTTGTGTCTTTCTATTTTCTTCCATAGGCAGATACGCAAATTGACCGAGAACATCAAAATTTCTATGAGGCATCACTTGAATATGTCTTTAAAATACAAGAAGTTCAAGAAAAGAAAAAATTTGAATTTGTTGAACCGGTAAAAGCTCCAGACTTCCTTCTTTATTATAGAATTTGTATTTAAATTGAAAGTTATTATTTTTCCCAAAATGCAGTCTTTGAAAATTAAAAACTCGAGGGCAGGTATAGTTTTTCTTTTTTGATATCCCTAGTTAGCACGTTGCTTTGCATTTAGTGGGTACCAGATGAATAGTTATTAATTGAATTGAATGGAAACCAGGCTTTGTCACTTACTACCTATGCAGCTTAAGTGAGTCACTTAAACTCGGATCTCTCTTTGATCATCTGTAAATTGAGAAGATTGGACTAAATAACCCAACATCCCTTCCAAGTTACATCTTTGTTCCTTTGAGTTGAATTGAATAATTGTCGCATAAGGTAACTTTCACAGATGGGGTTTTAAATACTTAGATAGAAGTCAGATTGCTTATGCAATTGTGTGTGTGTGTGTGTGTGTGTGTGTGTGTGTGTGTGTGTACACATATATATGCATGTATATATACAGATATACATACATGCACAAAGAATGTAACTTGTGTTGCACATATATGTGTGTGTGCATTTATGAGTGTTTTGTTGTTTAGTCATTTGCAGTTGTGTTTGACTCTTTATGACTCTATTAGGGTTTTGGTTTTTTTTTTTTAAATGAGGCAGTTGGGGTTAAGTGACTTGCCTAGGGTAACACATCTGGTAAGTACCAAGTTTCTGAAGCCAGATTTCAACTCAGGTTCTCCTGACTCCAAGGCTGGAGTTCTTTCCACTGCTCCACCTACCTGCCCCCATGGGTTTTCTTTTTTTTGTTGTTTTTTTGTTTTGTTTTTGTTTTTGGTGAGGCAGTTGGGGTTAGGTGACTTGCCCAGGGTCACACAGCTAGTGAGTATCATGTATCTGAGGCTGGATTTGAACTCCTGACTCCAAGGCCAGTGCTCTATCCATTGTGCCACCTAGCTGCCCCCACTCTTACGGGTTTTCTCATCAAAGATACTGGCGTACTTTGCCATTTCCTTCTCCAGTTCATTTTACAGATATAGAAACTGAGGCCAACAGAGTTCAGGCTGGATTTGAACTCAGGTCTTCCTGACTGTAGGTCTAACACTCTACTGTGTTACCTAGCTGCTTGCTTTTATGAGCATTAATGGTTTCTACAACTTTCTTAGGAAGTCAGTTCAGTTTCTAGGCCAATTCTAGATAAAGTGGTTATTTCTACATGTTTACTTTATGTGTAACATTTTCCTCCATATTTATAATCCTACTGTGTCTGTATAGTATATATCTGTATATTATAGTTCCTATTTTGTCTTTCAGCATTCTTAAATATTGTTTTTAGAACACAAGGAGGGTGGGAAGGAGGGAAAAATGGAGGAAATCAGAAGAGAGGGGAAATTTTGTCTGAAATTCAATGAGATATGTATTTTATATTTTTAAAATGTTACTTTCAGATACTCAAGTTTTATACTATGCTGTTAACTCACCCTTTTCCTGGAGAAGGTGATAGAAAGCAACAGAATTGCCAGCAGGAAAGAGGGGATAACCCCTAAAAAATTAACAGTTGGATAGAGTAAAGTAATCTTCATATAAGAAAGATGGTTACATTGTGAACAAAAATAAAGTTAAGAAAATTCAATGTGTTTGCTTCTGTTCTTTCTTAATAATAACAGTTAGATAAGAGTTTGATAAAAGACCTGGCTTTTTTTTTTTATTGTAAGAGAAATAATGGATCTACAGTACAGTATGTCAATGGGGAAAAAAAAAAGCTAATGCAATCTTGATTTCTATTAAGAGGGACATTGCTTCCAGACTAAGAATGACCTTATTAGACCCTGTGTAAAAATTTTTGTTCATTTCAGGCCATCACATTTTGGAGATATGTATTGGAATTGAATGCCATTGAGGGGATTATAGGATAGTACGTCCAAAATTCTGTGATTCTGTGACAGCTCACAAAAATACATTGATTTACAGTTTATAAAGTAACTTCGCAATAACAGGAAAGGCAGTCTAAACATTATCCCCATTGTACAGGTGAGGAAATTGAGATTGAGAGAGGTTAAGTGACTTGAACCTTCTGTCTGTTATCTCATTAGAGCAGGAAGAATATTTCTTAGAAATATGACAGTTGCCTTTCCCCTCAAAATCAGTCTATGAAATGAATATCATAGGGAAACTTCTTAGTTCTTCCCCTGCTAGCCATCTTAAAACCCTCCCTCCCTGTAGAATGTACGTGTGTGTTTTTCTTAGTCTGAGCATGCCTTTCTTGTGACTTCATAATTGAAATTGATGTTAAATTCTTTCTTTCAAAATCCTGTCCTGGCTGCTGAATTTTCCTATTAGTATGTCTGGCCAAAATGAAGACTTCTGGCAACTGAATCTCATTCTCCTTCTAGTTTTGTAATTTCTCTGCCTCCTTGTGTTTTATACCCCATTTTCAGTAAGATGATCAAAGACATGTAAATAATACTATCTTAACCTGAAGAAAATATCTTTGTACATAATTTGAGAACGGATAACTTAACTTGAAGAAATATAGACTGCTTTACTCTATGTAGGTGATTAAAGACTTAGAAAATCTTTAAGGAACAATAAATCTGATAACATAGCATATCAGAGAAATACTATTTTTATTATCATTTATGTATTACATTTTCAAGATGGTTTTGTAAGTAGAAATTCATGTAGTAATACATTGGAAAAATCTTTGCTTTGTCTTTGTTGACCCCAGAGCAGAGGATTTTTTTGTTTATAAGAGATAATTAATGCTAAGAAATAAAAGATATGAATGGCACATGTACTTAGATGTTGATGAGACTGTCAGCTTCAAGGATGATATATTATGAAGGGATGCTACTTTGCATAAGAAATATGTTTTTTTACTTTCAGATAAACAACAGCTGTTTCAGATAACTATGTATTCCTTCAATTAAAACAAAGTGCCAGTTCTTTCTGTTCTAATGAAGATTTCCCCCCATCATTTCACAAACAAACTTAACAGAATAGTACTGAGATAACATTGAATTTATCTAAATTTTAACTATCTTAAGAAAAAAATTGGAGTTGTAAGCATTTGGGAAAGAAAGGAAAGTTGTAAATTTAATAGAAATTTAATGAGTATTCCTTTTTTTTAGTATATTTTTGTTTGTTTAATTAAATATTTCTCAATTATACATAATTTTTTTAAACATTCTTTTAAAAATAATTTTGAGTTCCACATTTTCTCACTTCCTCCCTCCCTTCCTCCTTCTTTAAGAGGGCCAGCAATTTGATTATACATGTGAGGTTAATGAGTATTCCTTAATGAATAGTCTTTAAAATCAAGTAGTTTTAAAATCATTATTTTCATTCAGAGTTCTTAGGTTACATATTTCATTTCCTTCTTTAAAACCATGTGCATATCTGTCCTATTTATTCTTTTTAAAACATTTGTCCTATTTATTATATTTTAATGGAGCAGCAAAAAACATTTCCCAGCACCTGGTATGCTGCCAAGGTTCATAAATTTGGGTCATCTACTTTTAAATTCAGCAATTGAGTTAATATGGTCAGGGATTTTTGTAGGGGAAATGAACAAATAGAGAGCGTGATTGACTTGCCACTAATAGGTACAAAGACTTGAAGTGAAATGAATTAAAATCATCTTCTATATCAAGTTATCTATATTTCTGTTTCTTGGCTTAAAGAAATTGTAATGTTGAAGAGGAGAAGGCCTCAGGTGACTGTGACTATAACCAGTTGTTAAATCCTTTTTGGTCATGCATCCCCCAGTAAAAAAAAAAATGATTGACCACTTGCTCCAAATATGTATTTTTATTAATTTTAGAAATTATATATGTCTACAATTGTACTAATTTAAATAAGGTACATTTTAGAGCTTAGAGAAAAATGTAATTTTAAAAGGATGGGTAAAGATCAAACATTTTATCCATGAGTCTATACGGTCAGCCCTGTGTTTTAGGAAAACCACATGGCAGTTATATGGAAGATCTACTGGGAAGGGGAATGACTTGAGACAGGGAGAATAATTAGGAAGTAATCCAGGGGAAAATTTTGATAAGGACTGAACCAGAGTGGATGTTACGTAAGTAGAGGAGACAGGGTGAGGAGATGATGTGGAGATAGAAATGACAATAATTGCACTTGATTCAATATGTGAGGTGAGAGAAAATGGGAAAATGACTTTGGCAACAATGTGGAAAATACACTGGAATGGGAAGAGACTTGAGGCAGGAAGAGCATTTAGGAGGCTGTTGCAATGATGTACGCAAAGGGTGATGATTAAGCTAGCAGTTATGTGAATAGAGAGAAGTGGACAGATATGAGATGTTGTGGAGGTAGAAATGACAAGAACTGGAAACTGAATGGTTAAGTAGGGTGAAAGAGTCACGTCAAGATGACATTGAGGTGACACTGAAGATAACACTGAAGGTATTAATTTGGATGAGTAAAAGTATGATGATGCCCTAAATAAAAAAGGAAATTTGAAGAAGAGTGGGATTTGGGGGGAAATAGAATATAATTAGATCAGTGCTGCATATTGCAATCTGTGCATGCTCACACATTCTGTTACACTCACCTTGCCTCACCTACAATGAAAAGAGGGAAACAAGGCTTTTATGCTGGTAAGACAAGGTGAAACAATTGCAGAGCTGTCTGTCAGAAGAGATGGAAGAAGATAGAATCAGGAGTACAGGAAGAGTGGTTGGCCGTGGTGGAAAGAAGAACCACCAGTTCATCAGAGATTGAAATAAAAGAGGAGAAAATGGCGGATCTTGTGGAGGTTTGAAATGTAGGTTAACGGCAAGGATGGAATTCATAGCAAGGTCTTCATTTCTTAGTACAGTAGAAGTAATAACCCTCTCTTCTGACAAAGTGGGGGATGTGGTGTGTAGTGTGGGAGGCTTAAAGGGATCAAAGAGGAAGTTTGGAACCACTCCTGTGGGAAACGATTACCTTGCTATAGGGAGGGCCCACTTAAGATTAGATAGTTTAAATTTATGTTGGACCTAACTAGTATAGTTTGGTTAC